AAACAACGAAAAAGGCAATCGTCTCAAATCTTTCGCAATCAGAAAACTCCGATTCATGATTCATTGCATTGAACTATGCCATTATACTTAACAGCAACTTCGAATGAGATCAAATCATTCTCAACAGCTGAAGAATGATAAGAGGCATTTCAACAAACATGTTCAAGGCATTTGATTCAGTAGAATACGGACACGGCGTTACAGTTCGTACGTACCTGGTTTTGATGTAGGAAAATCCACTTCAACTTTGCTTCAAAACCATCGCCGGAAATATCTGATTTCTCGTCGGCACTTTGAATCTTCTGTCCTTTACGATTCGAACAAATCCACTCCCATTCGAGAAATGGATCAGATTGCAGAACTCGCAAAGCCCTAAATCTTGTGCTTGGCCGCGTAGTTCCCTCAGTGCAAACAAATGGGTCGCTGCTCGCCCACTTTCTGTTTCACACCTTCAGGGATATGAAACGGCGTCGAACAATGAATAGTTGAGATATGATTGGATTGGGAATCTGGTCTTTTTTTTTTCCTTTTAATGGAGGCGCTATGATTTTTTTTTTTTTTTAAACATGGAGGCACATGAAATTAAGAGCAGAGATAATATGACTAAGGGTTATAATACATATAATGAAAATATAGAATCAATAATATAATTTATGTTATTTTATTAAATTAGTTGATTTATATAATAAAGAAAGAGAAAAATCATAACGTTTTAATATTAAAATTATTAGGATATTTAATGATAATTACATTATAAATTTGATAAAATTAGACCCTACATCATACCTTACATATTTAATAATTATGATTAATTGTTATGATATTTTTAATACCAAAACAAGTCAAAACCCCTATTTACACCCTCAAATTATTTCTTTTTCATGGTCAACACTTTTCAAATATTTTCTTTTTGGTTAACACCTTCCACTTTTCAAAAACCATGAAAAAACCTAATATTTTAATAGGCCATCACATCACTGTTAAAAAGTGCAATACATGGCATCCAAATAATGATGTGAGCGTTATGTGGCATTATTTATCCAATGTGGACGATTTTTTGATGATGTGGCATGATGACATGACATAATTTTATGTGAAAACCTCCCGATCAAAAAAAAAAAAAAAACTAGAATAGGGTGGAACCCAGAACAAAGGAACCCAGCTCTGGGTTCCTTATGACTGGGTTCTTCACGACAAGGAACCCAGTTTGTACCTTTCTTTCACCTTTCCTTTTTGTGATTCTTTCTAGTTTTGATAGAATAATAAGATGATGATTTGATTTTTTGATAGGTTCTCAACTTTTCTTGCAAGTTAATTATAGGATTGTTCCTTTTTTTTTCAATCTGAATCAACCTCCATTAGAATCATGGATGAAATCTTTTTCAATCTTCCATGGAGGCTGGGTTTGACAAGGAACCCAGTTTTGGGTTTGTGAAACCCTAGAACTTGGGTTCCTTGCATAACCCTAGAGGATGATGAAGAGGACGGTGAAGAAGAGGGTGAAGATGATGTTGAGGATGAGGAGAAAGAAGAAGGTGAAGAAATTAAAGTTAATTATGTTTTAATTCATTTAATTTTCTGTTTTAGTTTTTTTTTTTTTTTGGTTGGGAGGTATTCATATGAAATCATGCCACATCATCAAAAAATCGTCCACATTGGATAAATAACACCCACATCATTATTTGAATGTCATGTATTGCATTTTTAACGGTTATTAATAGTGACGTAATTGTCCATTAAAATATTAAATTTTTTACGAGTTTTGAAAAGTAAAAAGTGTTGACCGAGAGGAAAATATTTGGAAGGTGTTGACCATGAAAAAAAAATTTTGAGAGTGCAAATAAAGGTTTTCGCCTATTAAAAAGTCCTACTTTTTTCTTTATTTTTTTTTTCTATATAATATTATAAATATTTTTTAAAAATAATTATTAAGTAATATAAATTTTATCTTTTAATATTTTAAATAACATAACTAAATAAATTATGTTATTAATTTCATATTTTGATATTAA